GGAGCACCAGGGAGGTTCAGAGTCTCGAGGAGCACCGTTTGAGGGAGCCAGGAACTCTCTTCCTTTTTTATTTTACAATTTTCCTTGCCATTTTAGAGATGCCATTTTTATGTAAACTTTTTATTACGTAAGCTAGACATCAAGGTTCTTCAATCATACATATATTACTTGATGAATTTTTACAAAGAACCAGCCCCAATCAAGAAACAGAATATTGTCAATACCCCAGAAACTCACAGAAAGGTACCACACTTTTCTGACTCCTGCCACCGTCCATTTGTGTTACCTGTTTTTTGAACTTGGTACAAATGGATTGAGAAGGCAGAGAAGCCCCAGAAGTGGCTGTGGAGAAAACAAGGTAGCAAGCATCCCTCTGTGATGACATTAAATTATATTTCTATGCAGATGAGGTCTTAATTTCTAGGAGACCCCAGGGCTAGCCAAAGAAGTTTGGGGTTTCTGAAAATATCCCTCCAAGGCCAGCATTACAGTGACTCAGTCAACTGATAGTTCAGTTCATTTAAATTCTTTTCCCAAAATTTAAGCCCCTGGTTAATGCTCAAATGAGTACTTAAAAGTAATCAAGTAAGTTTTAGGGGGAAAGGACTCCGTAATCTAATTTTGTAAGAGAAATTTGTCTTTAAGCAACTTTTCAACAAGCAGGAAGTTTCTCTAAAGTAAGCACTTTAAAAATGCTATTTACATAGGTTTTGAATGTCAATTTATGGTTTAGAGCAGTGGGTGGAGCTATGAGAACAGTGTTGCACAAGAAATCTTGGCTCTCCTGGGTGGCACCAAGGGTTAGGAGGAAGCACTGCAAGCTAACCACAGCCACTTCAGTGAAAGTTTGATCCTCCACTCTGGAGGTGATCCATGTGGCTTGGCAGACCTCTCCTGTCCTGCCCACTGCTCCCCTTAACAGTGTACTTTATGAATCTGCTTGTTCTGTTCCCGCTCTGCCTCTGGTGAATCCTCTCACCGCCCCTGTACTTCTGGCCTGTACCCCAGTTCTATATGCATAAATAAATAAACCTTTTTTTAAAAGTTTAAAAAAAGAATGCATCTAATCTAGGGCCTCCCTGGTGGTGGAAAGGGTTAAATCTCAGCATTATGAAGCTATTAGGAGTCACTGCAGCACTGAGTTCCATCCCCAGCCAGGGAGGTGACCCACATGGTGCAGCAAACCCCTCCTCTGCTCCCCACAGCAGTGTATTTCAGTCTGTCTGTTTTGGTCTCTTCTGTGTCTCTGATGAGTCCTCTCACCTCCCACACCTCTGGCCAGTTCTTGTATGCATAAATAAATAAAAAAATTGTTTAGAAAATATATGTAATATATAGATTAACATCAGCATGATCATTGCTCAGGAAGTTAGAAAAATGCAGTTCCAGGTGGAATGTGTGTGCTGATGAACTCAGACGCTGGTCTTAACACCAAGTTCAAGATCTGTGCTGTACCACCCACTTCAGAGGGCCTTCATGTTTGGGGGGGGGGGGGCAGGAACTTCAATATGAAAAGATAAAAATGTTCCAGTCATTCACCCGTAAGCCTCACTGCTATTTTTGGGGCACGTTCCAATTTTGTATTTGCAAAACTCTTTAGATTCTGGCCTCAAGTGGACCTGCTGGCTTTTGCTTTTTCCTGGAACATCATTGGTTGAGTTAGATTGTCCACACAATTTTGCCTCTGTTGGGGGTCAGTTGCCCCTCTCACTTGAGACAGCCTTTTGTAACTTTCTACATGTCACTCTGAATGCCCTTTGAAAACGTCCTTTGTCCTCATCAGCCATCCACTTCAGAAGTGGTGGTGTTATTTCGAAGTGGGGTTTGGGATATGCTATATAGAATAAAGCTATGATTGTGTTAAGAACCAGAAGAGGATAAGCAGCTAACACAAACATGAATAAGGCCTAAGCACATGCTGTACCAGGGGAGAAAAGGGGTGAATGCTTCGTTGTGATTCTGCTTTGTTTCTGGGGTCTGGGTGCTCATGTAAAGTCCCGAAAGACTTGCTAGTGAGGTTTACAGGATTGCAGTTTGGCAAACACCCGATTTTGAGGCACAAGGCCATGCTCCTGAAAGGTGCCTAAGAGTTTCCTCTATTTGGGGGGAGCCCCCTGCTGCTCTTTTGGGTTCTAGTGGCATTGGGGGCCTCCTGTGCTCTTGGGTTCCTGTGCTCCCAAGCATACGCATTATTTGTCAGTGCTCAGCCCTAGAAATCCAAGCCTCTCTCATAAATTCCAAATTTCTCTCTGATACAGCAATTTCATACTTCCTTCTCACCATCGTGCTGCATCAAGGACTCAGTAGAAGCACAGTCACATCCTCTCGGACACTTATCATTTCAGTGACAATTTCCCACCACAAGGAATACTGAAATACAACAGGAAATGGTGAGTATGAATAGATGGCCCTGGGCTAAATTTGAATGGTGGAAACTTTATACCAAAATGTTTCCATAAAAGTATACTTTTTTTAGTTTTGATGATAACCCACTTGGTCATTGTGGGCAGAAGCCATTGACCAACCAGGAAATTGGAAAATAAATAAATGACCAGTTTCACATGGTCTTGAAGGGACTCAGGTTTTGTTTGGGTTGGGAGCACTTGAAAAATGGTACCCTGACCCAAACTGAGCAAATACAAGAGTTTGAAGTGCAGCATGTTTAGTTACAAAAACTCTATAATTATCATTTCAGAAAATAGAAGAGGAAAAGGAAGGGAATTTACTCTCAGGGGCATCTAGTCTTGTGCCAGGGTTGTCCTAGCAAAATTACTTAGTGACTGCCACCAGTTCTTAGGGTCACCTGCTCCTCTGTTTCCCATTTTAGGTTAGGAACCAGCTTCACTAAATTAGGTAACTTGCTCAAGGTCACCCACTGGTAGTGACAAAATGGCAATTCAAAGGTGGACCTCCTTTCAGTTTTCCCTG